TGACTGGGAGCCATAGCTGAGTCTCAGCCTGCCCACACTGTTTGCTCCACTCTGGGGATCCCCTGAGACCCCACCCTGTCCAATCTACAGCCCCACCCAAGCCATTTGCAGCAGCTTTTCTATGTGAAAGGCCTGTTCTGGCTCAGGCCTCAGACTTTGCTAAAATCTCTCAGGCAAACTACCGCTGGTGACAGCATGCTTCAAACCCATCAATAAAAGGCCCAAGGCCCAGCTCTAACACCAGTTTACCTTGCTTCACAGCCTCTTGCACAGCAGTATTCCCCCACTGTAGCTGCAGCTGGTCCTCACAGCCAATTGGCCTGGAGGTCAATTCCTCCCAGTGACACCAACAGCAATCAAGGCTCAACTATAAGACTGTGTACACACAGGGGCATGCCTAAACTGCCCAGCTCAGGTGACTGGGGAGGCTGAGCCACTGGGCCCTACAGGACACCTACTATACAAGGCCACTTTCCCAATTCCAGGAGACATAGTACGTAGAAACTAGTACATAGAAACTAACACAAGGAAGCAGCCAAAATGCAGAGACAAAGAAACATGTCACAAATGAAAGAAAAGGAAGCAAGCAAACTACTGGATACAGAGTTCAAAACCATGGTTATAAGGTTACTCAAGGATCTTGATGAGACTTTCAAGGATCTTAGTGAGAATGTCAAAGACATAAAAAAGTTCCAGTCAGAAATTAAGCTTACACTAACTTAAATAGCAATTTACAAGGATTCAGCCGTAGAGCAGAGGATTCTGAGAAACCAATGTTTTTTAATATGAGGAAGCAAAAAACACCCAATCAGAGAGCAAAAAAAATCCAAAAATATGAAGAAGGTGTAAGGAGCCTCTGGGACAACTTCAGGCATACCAACATTCGCATTATGGGGTCACCAGAAGAGAGAGAGCAAGATATTGAAAACCTATTTGAAATAATGACAGAAAACTTTACCTACATGGTGAAAGAAATAGACTTACAAGTCCAGGAAGCACGGAAGAGTCCCAAACAAAAGGGGCCCAAAGAGGCCCACACCAAGACATATAATTAAAATGCCAAGGGTTACAAAGTGAGAATCTTAAAAGCAGCAAGAAAAAAGCAGTTATCTACAAGGGAGTGCCCATACAACTATCAGCTGATTTTTCAACAGAAACTTCGCAGGCCAAAAGGGAGTGGCAAGAAATATTCAAAGTGATGAATAGTAAGGACCTTCAACCAAAATTACTCTATCCAGCCAAGCTCTAATTTAGAATGGAGGGTCAGATAAAGAGCTTCACAAACAAGAAAAAGTTAAAGGAGTTCATCACCACCAAACTAGTATTATATGAAACGTTGAAGGATATTATTGAAGGAGGAGGAGGAGAGATTAAAAATATGAACAATATAATGGCAACAAATACATATCAACAAAGGAATCTAAAAATCAAAATAAGCAAACAAGAAATCTAATTAACAAATAAACTGGTGAATAAAACAATCAGAGGCATGGAAGCATGGAACAGACTGACGAATCTCAGAGGGAAGTGGGGAGGAGAGGATGGGAAGAGATTAACCAAAGATCTTATCTATGGACACAGTAGGGTGGTGAAGCCCTGGGGTGGGGCAGGAACTGGGTGGAGAGGGCTATGGGGGTGGGGAAGGACATCTGTAATACTCTCAACAATAAGGATTTTTTTAAAAGAAAATTAGGTATGGCTCAGCAATTGAATAAATGTTACTGAAGGATTCCCAACTATTGGTTGCTTTTTTGTTGTGTAAGGGGCACAGTAGAATATGAAACTGTTCCTTTTGAAAAGTGTAATTTTAAGGTGATCTCAATGAAGAGATGATTGAACTGTAGCCTGGTTTTACTGATTTATAAGCAAAATCACTAAACCATGCATATCATGTAGTTATTTAATATTTCTTCCCCCTAGAAGCCTCTGCAGACATACGGTTTGATGATATGTTAGATGTTTATTTTAAAAAACTAGAGGGGGTAGTTGATGCTGTACTTTTTAGAAAAAATGGTCTTCAAATGTCTGTCTTAGTTGGTAAATAGAATGTAACACATGTAGAGAGAACCAAGATGGCGGCATAGGTTAACGCCGGAGTTTGCTGCTTTGAACACCTACTTCAAAAGTGAAACTAAAAAACTGAACGGACATCACCCAGAACCACAGGAACGCTGGCTGAGTGGAAGTCCTACAACTAGGAGGAAAGAGAAACGCATACAGACACTCAGAGGAGGCGCAGTGCTGAAGTCAAATTCTGAGGTGCGGAGTGCGCGGAGCGGGCTGGCGGCGGAGGGCGCGGTTGGCGTTTTCAATCGGGAGGGAGTCGCAGACTCTGAGCTCCAGATACGGGCGAGTCTTTAGGGACCCAGACTCAAACGGGAGAAGCGGGACTGTCTGGCTTCGGTCAGAGCGAGTGCAGCTTTCTCTCCGAGTTTTGCAGCGGGTGCTGGGACTCAGAGAGGCAGAGCCCCTAGGGACAGGACTGAGAGCCGCCATAACTGCTCTCTCTGGCCCACCCTGTTGATCCTGTGCGACCCGCCCTGCCCAAGCCCTGCACAAAGGCATTTGCCTGATAGCCTCAGGCAACCGCCAGATTAGCACCTCCCTAGAGGACAGAAGTTCACTGCAGACACAGCTGATTCTCATAGAATGTAACACATGTAATGACAATGCTGCTTTGGAACATGGCAGAGACAATCTACATAGTTTCTGACCATAATTTTATTGCTGTGGACCAGTGATTGTTATGCCTCCACTCCACCCTCCCTTTTGAATGGGAGTTCTGTTACACTATCCCTTGCTCATATATTGGGTGTTTGGGGAAGACAAATAACTTATTTTCTCCATTATAGGTTTCCACCTTGAGAGGAATTGTATCCAAGGATTCTCATCTACGTGTGGACCTGTTATGTGCACATAACAAGATCCTGGACTTTGAGCCAATGAAATGATATAATGAGAAGAGGCTTTCGGGAGAAAAATGTAAATTGTGGTCAGAGTGGCAAAAAAAGCAAGTGATAGTGAAAAAAACCTGGCTTCATTTTTCAGTATTAATTGGGAATCCAGTATTAGAAATGCAAGAGTAAAAGGTATGTGGGCTGGGGGTGGGGTGTGGGGATGATTTCAGAGGCCCAAAAAGAAATTAAAAAAAGAAGAAGGTTGATTTCACATTGCCCAGGAGAGTGTATACTCTGTTTTTATAGCCTCACAGTATTCATTATAGAAGACTAGAGGCCCGGTACACAAATTCGTGCATGGGTGGGGTCCGGCCAAAGGTTGGCTGGCCAGCCCCACCCCCTGGTTGAACTCCCGGTCGAGGGGACAATTTGCATATTAACCTTTTATTATATAGGATTAGAGACCACAAATGGCATTTGCCCATAAGCATATTAGTAGTGAAATGAGGAAGGTGGGAAAAGGTTTACTATTTGAGACTTGGTTTCTATTCTACCACTTACCTGAGGCAAGCTATTTTACACATTTTTTGTTTTGTATATTGTTTTAAAAGTATGTTATAAATGTATGTGTTGGAATCCTTAGATTGTTTATGAAAGGAGATTGGCCTAGAATTATCTCTGAGATACATTCTTCTTCTTTTTTTTTTCCCAGTAAGAGTTTATTTGAGCCAAACTGATGACATATGCTGGGAGCAAGATCTCAAATTATCTGTGAGGGACCTTCTGACCCTAGAGGTCTGAAGCCTACTTAATAGTAACTGACATTTCAACCCTGGAGAGATAATGACAAATGAAAATGGCTCTTTAGCTACCTAATTCCCGTTCCTAGTGCAAAGCAGTATAGAATCATTTGTTTTTATAGAATGAAATAGAAAACAGAAGACTGACTCTGATTATTTTGCAAGACAGAAATTCCATTCTGAGCAACAGCCTTACTGTTCATCCTTGAATCTCTTATTAGTTCACCAGGTCAGAGTACCCCGGAAGAGCTGATAGGTTTGTGTGCTGCTTCTGGGACCCAAACCCAATATCTAGGTGTAGCTGCATTAAGAAGGAAGCCACTGTGGGCAAGTGTCCAATCCTGAGACCTTGTAAAACAGTGGGGGAGTCTAACCCTTTTAGGAAAATCCTACTTAATCCTGTTAAAGGGTAAATCCCAGATCCCTTTCATCCTGGTCATTGGGCCTTGGGCTGAAAGGAAGACATTTAATGTTTACTGCATGTCAGACACTGCTGGTCATTCCACATAACATTATCTTATTTAATCCCTGTGAAATATTTTGTATTATCTCCATTTACAATGCCTCAAATGCCCAAGTTGTGTGTGTATGTGTATGTGTTTTTAAAATGAATACAACTTGTCCTTCAGTGCTCATCTCAGATATTACTACTTCAAGGAAGCTTTCCTAATCCCTTAGGTTTGTTAACCATTTATACACTAACTAGAAGCCCAGTACACGAATTTGTGCACAGGTGGGGTCTGGCCAGCCTGGCCCGATTGGGGCCAATTGGGCTGGGCAGGCTGGGGGGAGGGGCCGAGGGCGGTTGGCCAGCCAGCTCTGCCCCTGGTTGAACTCCTGGTTGAACACCTGGTGGAGGGGACAATTTGCATATTAGCCTTTTATTATATACGATAACACACTGTAACCCAATAAGCACAGCAATTATGTGGTTACTTATTTAACATCTGTGACTCATGCTAAAGTATACTTTAGCTCAATGAGGACGGGGACTTTGTCTCTGTCATTGTTCTGTGTTATTTGTAGTGCCAAGTATAGTTCCTTACACATAGCTACTCAGTAAATAATCACTGTAATTTTGGCAAATCATTAGGAGTTGAATGCCTGTCTGTTAAGCTTCAGAACCTTTCTTCTTTAAGGACCACAAAGGAAGTATTTCTTAATGAAATTACACAAGAGGCTCTTCCTCATCTCAGTGCAAAATTGGCAACCTAACTATACAGTTATTCATTAACTTTAGCTATACTGCTGAGGGTGTGGTTCTGAGAAAAGGAACTGAAAGTCTTCAGCAGATCTCCCAGGACTGGATGGTAAGCTCTTCAGAGCAGTCCCACATATCTGAGCACCTGTTTTTGAAGAAAGTTGGTGGGAAAGGCTCTAAGGACTCTGTCCCATTAGGGAACTTCACAAGAGATAAACACACCTGCTCACTTACCAGTGTTTCTGACTTCCCGCTGAACTGAAAATTGCTTGTTTGGTGGAAAAACAAAACTTGGCAGCAAATCTCTAAAATGAAGACCCCCAAAACCTTTGAGGAGCAAACAGAATGCATCATGGACTTTCTACTCACGGACTTATTAGGCGTACCTTCAAAGGTGACTAACCGGGACCTATGTGGTGAAGGTGAACTTGAAACAGATTCAGGTAAGGCTCCTGGCCTGCAGTGGTGATTGCAGGGCCATAGGAGAATGGAAGTATGTTTTCTTATTTCCATTTAAGTTTCAATAGGCAAACTCTAAGCTTTCAGCAATACCTGCATCTTTATTTTTGTTAATATATTTTTATTGATTTCAGAGAGGAAGGGAGGGAGAGAGAGCGAAACAACAACGATGAGAGAGAATCATGGGCCAGCTGCCTCCTGCACGCCCCCTACTGGACATGTGCCCTGACTGGGAATTGCACCGTGACCTCCTGGTTCATAGGTTGCTGCTCAACCACTGAGCCAGCCTGCTGGGCAATAACTGCATCTTCATGGAAGGGAAATGGATTCTCAGTGAAGGGAGACTTTCTGACTGTTGGTGTGGACAGAACATTGAAGATGTTCTTGGGAGAAAATGATGCCCAAATTGTTTAAAATTCTGGAGAACTTTCTTCAATGCTCGGATTCCAAGGACTTGCCCTCCCCTCAAACACTGTGACAAATGTGATTGTGGACTGTGCTGCTCTGTTTTAGGAGAGGCTTGCTCTTTTGACGTGGCCATCATTGCTGGTCGCCTTCGGATGTTGGGGGACGAGTTCAACGGAGAACTGGAAGCTTCTGCCAGAAGTGTCATTGCAGAAACCGTTCGGGGACAGGTCACCTTCCTGCTGTTTTCTATTTACTGCTTTTTTCCTATTTCAGACACCCTTTTCTTACTACTCCAGGAGTGTGACCAGAAATGTTCTGTGAGAGATTTGAGGACTTATATTTATCCAAGAGGATACAGCATGAATTTCCGATGGCCAATTCTTTAGGAGTTAAGCAAAGGCTAAGTGGTATTGAGATGAAAAGCTTTGGGCATAGGCTGGTCAGCCTTCACATTGTTAATACTGTTTTGTTTTTTGGTGTTTTTTGTTTTTTGGTTTTTTTTTTGTCAAAGCTGTGCTTGGTGGCATAGAGCATATATAAAGCACTTTATTCTTTTATGCACCTGCTTTAATGCTTCTTTTTTTGGATGTGGGCACCTTTTTTTCCCCAGCAGTGACATTACATTAGGAAGGATGGGCAGTGGACAAGTTTGATGCAATGAAGGATAATGGTACAGGAGCCCACTAGGGTGTATCTAGCTCTTCAACAGAATACTGATTACTGACAGAAGCACTTGGGCTCTGTATTGGATATAAAGATGGACCATAGACAATATTCTATAATGTTGCTGATTGACATCAGTAGTGATGGTTAATATAAATTCTTCACTTACCATGTGTCAGGGGATTTTGTAAATGCTTTACACTTATTATCTCATGTAAGCCTTACATCACTTTATGAGGTATTATAGAAACTTGTTCAAAGCACAACCTCTCCCCATCTGCATGTAACACTATGAGAGCAAACACCTAACCCATTTTGTTCACTGCAGTATTTACACAATCTAGAACAGTGCCTGATACATAATAGGTCCTCAGAAAGTATTTTCTGGCTTGATACCCATTTAAGCAGAAAGGAAACTGAGAACTAGGGAAAAAATTAATTGGGTTACACAGTAAGTAACTTCTTTTTTCTTTTCTTTTTTAAAATTTATTTTTCCATTACAGTTTACATTCAATATTATTTTGTAATATATTCAGGTGTATAGCATGGTGATTAGACAATTATATACTTTACAAAATGTTCCCCTCAGTATTTCCACCAGCCACCTGGCATCATAGATAGTTATTACAATATTATTGACTATATTCCCTATGCTGTACTTTACATCCCTAAGCAATAATTATTGATGTTAGGATTTGAACCCAGACAGATCCCAACACCATTATGCTATATTCTTCCTACTGAACATAGTGTGAGGAGTATACCTACTATTCATTCAGGCAGGACTAGCTTTATTACTCTTAGTTGCTCATACTGATGCTTTCCTCAGTAGCTGAGAGCTGAATCTACTTTTAATTTTTTAATTTTAAGATTGTTTTGAAACAGCCTCAAACTCACAGAAAAGTTGCTTGTATTATACAAAGAATTTCCCTCTTAAATCATTTGAGAGTAAATAGCCAACATGATATTCCATCACCCCCTAATCCTTTTATTTTCCTTGAAGCAAGGGCATTCTCTTATATAATCACAATCTAACCATCAAAACCAGGAAATTATCATGGATACGTTTTCATCTCATCCTAAGATTCCATTCAAATTTTGCCAGTTGTCCTAATGATGTCATTAATAGCAGAAAGACATAGGCCAGATTCACAGATATTGCATTAAGTTGTTATGACCTTTTAGTCTTCTTCAATCTGTGATAGCTTCTTAGTCTTTCACTGATTTTTGTGACCTTGAGATTGAAGGTTATGGTTCATTTATTCTGTAGAATGTCCCTTAACTTGGGTGTGGTTGACATTTTCTCTTGAATAGATTTAGGGTATGTACCTTTGGAAAATCATAGAAGTGTTGCTGTGTTGTTGTCATTCTATTAAGTGGCACTGATTTCAATTGGTCCCATTACTGGTGGTAAATTGAATCACTCCCAATGGTGTCTGCAAGGCTTCTCCACTGTGAAGTTACTCTTTTCACCTTTGTAATTAATTGTTTTACAGGGCAGAACTTTGAAACCATGTACAAATCCCATATCTCATCAAAATTTCAATCTATTAATTTATTTTTTACATCAACATAGATTTATGAATTCCTACTTTATTCAGTGGGTTATAATCTGTTACTGTCATTGTTTATTTGAATGCTAACCTTATCCAGCTCTGGCCAGTGGGAGTCCTTTCAATCTGGACTATTTCTTTTTGGCATGTCCTTGTCATTTTCTGAGTACTTCCTTAATTTCTATCAGAAGATCTGTATTTTCTCATCTTTATCCGGAAGTCAGCCACTCTCCAGGGAGCTCTGGTTCCTTTTTATGGAAAACAATATTTGGATATCAAGATCTAGCTACCCTTAGGTGGATGCCCTTCTCAGTTTGTTTGGGCTCTGACGCCCTGCTCTGATGGCCATGCCCCCTCCCTCTACACCACATTGCAATAGATCTTGCTTGGCCCTACCTAATGGTTTTGTGTTTTGTGTTTTTATTAATCCTCACCCAAGAATATTTTTCCATTTATTTTTAGAGAGTGGAAGGGAGAGGGAAAGACAGGAAGAAACATGGATGTGAGAGAGACACATCCATTGGTTGCCTCCTGCATGCACCCCAACTAGGGCCAGGGAACCTGCAACCAAGGTACATGCCCTTGACCAGAATCAAACCCGGGACCCTTCAGTCCGCAGGCTGACACTCTATCCACTGAGCCAAACCAGTTAGGCCTACCTAATGGCTTTTGGACCAAATTTTTTTGGGAAGACTACTCTTTTTTTTTTTTCTTACTTTGTAACTTCCCAGACTTCAATCGTTCAAACAATATGACCAGCTGTACTATCATGTACTTAATAATTTTCTTTCAAAGCATTTGTCTCTCTTTCAATTATTTGATTTATCCTATGCAATAATATCTGAAGTCATGGGTTTGATGAGCTACTTCTGGTTTTTCTAAAAGTCATTACAATAAATAAAATACTAAAATGAGAAAAGCCTATCCTTTACTCCCTAACATTACTTTAGATACAACCAGTGGACATTGGCTGCTCTCTGGAGAACACTTGCTTTACTAGATTCTGTACCTGCAGACTCCTGTACTTTTTAGTGAAACTCCACTGATATAGCCTATGTTTCTCCCCAGGGAGGAGCTGTCCTTCAGAACACAGTAAAATCTCTCAGCAAGGCCTGGTGTGCTCAGAATTCCAGCTTAGCTTATGAGAGAGCCTTTTTGGCAGTTTCAGTGAAACTGCTTGAATGTGTGATCCGCCTAGCTCCAGAAATGGCAAGACAGGTGGCGACCCCCATGACAGATATGATCAATGGGAATGGTGCCATCCGGGAGTTCATCCAGGGCCAGGGAGGTTGGGTAAGTATGTTGGGGCCCCTGGCTTAGCTAGCCATTTGCTCCTAATACCTGGGACTCCAATTTATGATTCTTTCTGTAAGTTGGAAACCAAGCAGGAAAATGGCTCCCTACTTTGCTAAAAATGCCAGGATTGCTTTTGCCATGGAAAAGGGGAGCATTCAGAAGCCCAGCCTGTGGATGTTGGACTCCAGAGTCACGCTGCCTAAAACATTGACTGCTAACTATATAATGCAGATCTCCACTCCCTACACATCTGTAAAGTATATTGGTTGAGTTCTAGTCTCGGCCTGGCTTCCCTCTGTTAGCTGGTACATTAGGGGTGTCTGCTGGGCCGGTAACTATACAAGGCGTTCTCAGCCCAGTCTTAGTCATCATCAGACCATCTGCTCTCAGAGACCACCCCCTTCACGGCAGGGTCAGCAGAAGTCCCAGCAAGAGCTGCATTCCCTGGTGGAACCTCAGATCACTCCTGCTTTCCTCAGGAAGCCCCTGATGAGCATCCCTGTGACAGGTGGCTGTTCCTTGTCCTTTCTAGGAAAATCTGGAGAGCTGAAGAAGAGGGAGAGCTCCTTCCCAGCCTGGACATCGCTTCCTCTCTGACTATCAGGTGACTGATTTCTGGCAATTACAACAGAAACGACCAAATCAAAAATCACTTTCTTTTGGACACAACTGAACTTAGTTGGATAATTTATTTCCTATCAATAAAGTTGGGAGGAGCTTCGAGAGGTCCACAGAGATTTTGTATTTCTGTTTTGATGGGAGTTTTAATGAGGTTCTGTTGAAGCAAAGACCTCCAGACACAAAGCGGTGCCTTGTTAGCAGTGGAATTCCAGGACAGGCTTTTGCTGGAGTTATTTGGGGGAGGAGGGAGCACACAGTAAACTATTCCTTCAGATTTAGCTCTATCTTGGGTGAGAATCTTGTCCACTAATTTTGCAGCCAAGGGAGATTTTTGGTTGGGAAATCTTGTTAGTTTAAGTTGAGGATTTTCTTTTAAATTCATAGTCTCAGTTTCATGTTAATTTCATCTGAGCGGGATTATTTTATGCATTTTCAAGGTTGGAAGTGAAACTAGAAGTTTGCCCTTCTATTAGAAAGGTCAAAGAAAGATAAAACAGTTGCTGCATTTTTTCTGCCACAGAATGCAGGAAGTGCCGGCCCACATCCAGGACAGGAGGGCCATCCACCTTAGATGCAGCTAGCTGCGTGCCACATTGACTTTCAAAGTGAGGCACGTGCCGCTTGTGGACCTTACACATTGCTGATTCCCAGGTCCCATCCTAGAGATTCTGCTCCTGTAAAGGGCGGGGGTGGGGGGCGGGGGGGGGGGGCAGTCGGAGCCTACGTTCCTACCTTTTAACCAGCTCTCCAGGTGATTTGATGTACAGATGAAGTTTAAGAACTGTCACTTTAGAGCCAGGGTTGGCAAACTGTAGCCCACAGGCCCATCCAGCCTGCTGCTTTTTTTTTTTGCTTTTTTTTGTAAATAAAGTTTTATTGGAATGCGGCTACACTCACTTGTTTACGTACTATCTATGACTGTTTTAGCATGGCTATGGCAGAGTTGAGTAGTTATGGCAGACACCCTATGGCCCCTTAAAGCTTAAAATATATATACTCTTGGCCATTTAAGTTTGTAGACCCCTGCCACAAAGCTAAATGAACATTTATCATTGAGAAATTTAAACCCTGTTGCATCAGGATAATTCCTGGCAAACACAAGTGTAAGTGGGCTAACTCTTTTTCCAGAATTTAGTTTGAGTGTTTAGTTCTTACATGGTCTACACTTTCTCCAGGACTTTTTGCAAATTAGAGCATTTTGTGACTCCTGACTTGTCCAGAAAAGGTATACATTCCCATGACCCACCACAAGAGAGTGGAGGTAATTGGAAGCAAAGCATATGGTTTTTATATATCAGAATAGTCCTTAATAATCTCATAGATTAGCAGGCAATCATCAAGTACATAGACTTCATCCAAAAGCTGTGAAACCAGGTTAGCTACCTACATGTCAGGAAGGAAAACATTGCTATATCTATTTTTGAAGAGGTGTTAATGTCTTTGGCTAAAGTTTACAGAGCTAACCACATCCCCTCTCTTCAGCCAGCCAGCAATCTATATAGAAATAAAGACACAGCCCTACAAACATATTCTGACTTTTTCAAAGTAGGCTATTTCCTCTATTCTTAGATAAATCACAATAGGTTAGTAAACTAGAAATAAGATTTCATGTTTCTCTTTAATAGAAATTAGCGCTTTTTTTTGCTTCCAATTGAAGATACTTGATGTATTCCTTTGTCCCTTATATTACTATAAACTCAACATGGTAAGTTTTGTGGTTTTTGACCTCTTAAACGAAGTCACTGCTTTCACTTAGACTAATGTTCTTCTGATCATGAAATAAGATTCTTCTGTCTATGCATTTGAACTAATTCTTAGCAAGTGCAACTTCAATTAAATGATATAGAACCAGGACAGATTGGTGGTTGCCAGGGGCAGCAGATGGGGGTTTGGGAGCTATTGGTGAAGGGGGTCAAAAGGTACAAACTTCCAGTTATGAGATGAAATAGTTCCAGGGATCTAATGGACAGCATGGTGACTATATTACATATTTGAAAGTTGCTAAGAGAGTAGATTTTTAAAGTTCTTACAAACAAACAAAAAATTTTGACTATGTGAGGTGATGGATGTGTTAACTAACCTTATTGTGGTGAGCATTTCACTATATATACAAATATATCAAATCGTTACATTGTATACCTTAAATTTATACAATTTTCTTTTCTCTGGAATCAATAAAAATATTTTTTTAAAAATTAGCCCAGCTGGCATGGCTCAGTGGTTGAGCATTGACCTATGAACCAGGAGGTCATGATTTGATTCCTGGTCAGGGCACATAGCCAGGTTGCAAGCTCAAACCCCACAGTATAGAGCATGCAGGAGGTAGCTGATCAATGATTCTCTCTCATCAATGATATTTCTCTCTCTCTCCCTCTCCCCGCCTCTCTGAAATCAATAAAAATATATTAAAAAAAGAAAAGAAAGGAATGCATTCAGGTCATCTGATTTTCACAATTTAATTTCACCATAGATTGATCATGGTGAAATTAAGTAAGTAATCCAATCCCTTTGTACTTTAGTTCCCACATTTAAAATAGAGATGATTTGGTAACTGATTCATAGGATTCTTGTGAGGGGTAAATGAAGCAGGGCACTCTGTAAAGGGGTTAACCCAGTGCCTGGGCTATTGAGAGCACTGCCTAAACAGTCCGGAGCCCCTGTGCCTTGAAGTTCCTGAAGTTCTAGCTCAACTTTTTTCTCTTCATTAACTCTGTTTTTCACAAAGGCAAGCCAACAGTCTATGGTTTTACCTTTCACCTTGATGTGGGTGATTTTTAAGTCTGACTGCAATTTTTCCAACATCCATATCCACAAACTCTCATTCTTTATTTCTGTACATCCTTCATATTCCCATACTCTTCCTGATTGCCATCCAGCTGGCTCAAAACCTCCGTCAGTTTTCCCTTCTCCCTCTCCCCAGCTCTACTCACCCAACAGGCCTTTCTCATGTATTCCTTCCATTTTGTTCTGATTCTTCCTATATGAGTTTATTAACACCCGCCTGGGCTATTGGTAAAGCCTTCTAGTTAAGCTTTCAGCAATCCTCCTGTCCCAGGCTTGTCCCATTCCAGTCTGTCCTATACACAGCCTGCCACTGGATTGACCAAAGCTGTAGTCCCTTTGTCCATGGTTTTATCCATTTTAGATATGCTATAATTCATTTTGAAATTATATATACCATTGAAGGAGATAATGAGACTTACAAAACTTTACCAGAAGGGAGCATTTATTTTTAAAAAATCAAGAAACTTTAACAAACAACAAGTGCTGGTGAGGATATGGAGAAAAAGGAACCCTAATACACTGCTGGTGGGAATGCATCCTGACACTATGGAAGTCAGTGTGGAATCTCCTCAAGAAATTAAAAATGGAACTGTCATTTGACCCAGTGATACCAATTCTAGAAATATATCCTAAGAAACCTGAAACACCAATTAGAAAGAACATATGCACACCTATGTTCATAGTATCACAACTTACAATAGCGAAGATCTGGAAACAGCCCAAGTACCCATCAGTAGACAAGTGGATAAAAAAGCTGTGGTACATCTACACCATGGAATTTTATGCAGCAATCAAAAAGAAGGATTTCTTACCCTTTGAGACAGCCTGGAGGGACCTGGAGAATATTATGCTAAGCGAAATAAACCAGTCCAAGAAAGACAAGTATCACATGATCTCACCCATATGTGGAAACGGATGAACAAATTAGATCCAGAGACATAGAAACATGGAACAGACTGAGGAATCTCAGAGGGGAGGCGGGGTGGGTGGAAAGATTAACCAAAGAACTTGTATGCATATATATGCATAATCCTGGACACAGACAATAGTGTGGTGAAGGCGGGGGGCGGGGGTGGGCTAGATGGGGTCAATGGGGGGGGGGGGAGAGCAGGACATATGTCATATTTTCAACAATAAAGATTTTTCAAAAATCAAGAAACGTTTCCCCAAAGCATTGCTTTGATTGCCATTCTCTTAAAACCTTTCATCAGAGCTTTGATTAGATTAGATATGTTCATTATCTTGACTGTGGTGATGGTTTCATGGTGCATACGCACACCAACACTTACCACATTGCATACTTTGAAATGTATGGGTTATTGTATGTCAGTAATACCTCAATAAAGTTGTTAAAAAGTATCCTCCAGCGGTTTTCCACTACCCATCAAATAAAGCACAACTTTTCAGCCTGGGTCAAATTTCCTCCCGGGTCTGGCCTCAGCTGCCCTTTTAGGCTTATCACTCCAGACTCCTGCACATAACCAATACTCCAGTGAAACAGCCACTCACTACGCTATCTGCCTCCCGCTGTCCTCTGTGTTTTGTATTGCTTTCTCTCAGGCTCTGTAGACAACTTGAAGACCCAACTCAAATGTCACTTCCCCCATGAGGTTAGCCAGATAACCCGAACAAGAAGTGATCTTTGCCTTCTCAAAATTTTGTTTGTACCACGTCTATGGTCTTATCACAAATGCTCTTAAATTACAGTTATTTGTGTACTTACCTTCCTTACTAGAGTAAAGGATCCTCGAATGAAAATAATTTGTTGAACACTTCTGCAGCACCCCTCTTCCCATTCTCTTGCACGTGTGTGGATCTCATAATGAATGAATGATCATCAAACGAAAGATGAGACTTCAAGTTTGATTATAGTTTTAATAAGATGCCAACCAAGCCTCACCAAGTATCTCAAACCTCTATTTTTTTTAAAAAAGGTAAATTATTTCTGTTGCAACTTACTGGTTGACCTTTGCCTCCTGAGGATTGTATTTGTGAAACCAAAGGCAGAGTATGAGTCCCTGAGTGGTGTGTGTGGGAAACTATGAAGTTGACAGCAGCTGAACTGACACGCTTGAAGAGTCTCAGAATGCTGTAGTGATGAGAAGCAGGTTGGAAGATGGGCAGGGCACCTCCCTGCTGTGGATGATGTGAGAACATGAGCAAAAGGCTTCAGCAGAGGTGCTTTAGAAACCTCTTCTGTTTCTCTTTACAAAAGAAGAAAGGAAGGCTAGTCTGGAAATAAAGGAGGTCAATTTTTTTTTTTTTTCTGTCCATTGCAGCGCTTCGGGGCTGGACTGTGTGTCTCATTAGTAGCTCCATTCCTTTT